CGCGCCGCGCGTGGCCGCGGCTCCAGGCTGAGTCAGTGCGCGCCCGGCCGGGGCGGCCCGCGCCTGGGAATGCGGCCGGGACGCCTGTGGGGCGCGGTAGCCATGGGGACAGGGCAAAGGTCGCGCGAGTGTCGGAGCACCCGAGAAGGGAGGCTGGGTGGAGGTTGGGGCCGGCGGCCCCCCACGGCCGGCACACGCTCCGTGTCGCGGAAGCGCCGCTGAAGTAAGCCACCGCCGCCGAAGGAGTAGGCCGGCGAGCGAAAGAACGGCTCCATATGCTAAAATGCGGGTATGGGGGAGGGAGGCGCGTTCGGGAAGTCTTGGGTTAATACAGGCTGGGGGTGGGGGAGGACAGGGCCTGGATTCCTTTCTCAGCGGTTGAAACAGGGTCACTCCGCAGAGCAGATCATTGACCTGCCAGTTACCTTTGGTCTGATGTAAACCCACGGCAGCTGAGGCAGCACGGTTTTTCCAATCAGGCATTTTCCTACCAGACTGACTGTTTAGCCAAGATGGAGGCCTTTTATGTTCTTACAGGTGTGCTGTGTTAGGTGTTGTGAATTCGGATACTTTTTAACATAAGATTAATTAAGCACAATTGACTAAGATGTGAAGTGAAGCGAAGCATTTCCATGCAGGAATGGTGTTAAACCTGGGGGAATTTTTGTATTCTCTTTCAGAGCTGTTGCGCAGCCATTGGTACCTGTATTGGGGAAACATAGCATACAAGCAAGAAGCTTACAGCCTCAGTGGCGAAAATTTTTTCATGTCAGAGACCGAGAACTCTTGCAGTCGTTTATGTCATCCCTTCTTCTCCAGACAGAAGATACCAAAAAGTTGCAATCAAAGATCTCTTCATCTTATTGATAAAGCCACTAATAAGCCAAAATGTCTGTCAACGTCAACCGCAGCGTTTCAGACCAGTTCTATCGCTACAAGATGCCCCGTCTGATTGCGAAGGTAATACTAATCTTCTTATTAGTACAAATGCTGCAGCTCCTTATAGATTTTTTAGATTGCGTCTTATAGGGAAGACAGAACAGAATTTAAATTCTTACTTTCTTTTAGGTGGAGGGCAAAGGAAATGGAATCAAGACAGTTATAGTCAACATGGTTGACGTTGCAAAGGCGCTTAATCGGCCTCCAACGTGTGAGTAAAGCTTCTTGGAGAAGTCTGGAAAGGCTTACTGTGGGTAGAGTTTTCACAGTCTTTCAGCTGGAAAACTTGCCTGAATTATATGCTAGTTAACTTAGGAGTTAAGTGTGGAACCTTGGACTTATAGCAACCGATAAATCAGGTAGTTTTAAGTTTGCACGACTACCCAGGCAAGACATTTCTTTAACCCAATAATTTTAAAACGTAGAGCGATAACTAACATTTGGCTCTTCATTCAGTTTATACAGTTAACTGTAATAACTCAAACTTTGTTTTCTGCAAATAGATCCCACCAAATATTTTGGTTGTGAGCTGGGAGCACAGACCCAGTTTGATGTTAAGAATGACCGTTACATTGTCAATGGATCTCATGAGGCGAGTAAGCTGCAAGACATGTTGGATGGATTCATTAAAAAGTTCGTTCTCTGTCCTGAGTGTGAGAATCCGGAAACAGAACTGGTGAGTGCCTTTGACGTTTTAGCTATATATCTGCATTTGTGATCAGTTCTCATGTTCCTGAGAAGGCAGAGCAGACATAGTTGAAGATGAAACAAAACCTCAAAATTTTGGAGATCTCCATTTCCATGCTTCTTTTTAAAAAACAAAACAAAACAGGTCACTGAAAAAATTTTGTGTGTTGAGCTGATGTTTTAGATATCTCCTGATGGCTAGGTATTTGTACACTTTGTTCCACAAATTCACAGTAGAATTTGTTTCATATTATGGATGACATAATTGTTCTTATTTTCTTGGCAGCATGTCAATCCAAAGAAGCAAACAATAGGTCATTCTTGTAAAGCCTGTGGCTATCGAGGCATGCTTGACACACATCATAAACTCTGCACGTTCATTCTCAAAAACCCACCTGGTAAGTCTTCATGATGAAATTCTAAGATCTTAACATAAAGCAACTAACTGTTGAAAACAAAATGGGAGTTTTTTGGTTATAAAACCAGGATAGAAGGAACTCTTGATTCTTGTACTGTATTTTGTTAAGTCTAAGACTGAAAAATGTACCATTAAAAGTGAAAAGGAGGCTGCCAGTTAAGCCTGTACCATACCGTCAATCTTTAAGACAGGTCATCTTAGGACAGATGAAATGTTATCAAACAGATCATGGTGGGAACCCAGCAAAGGATCTTCTACTTGTGGTCCTGCTTTGTAAACGGGGCTTGCTTCATTAAGCTTAAGTGGCCTTAGAGCATTGCAAGCAACACTCTGTGGCAGATGATCGAAGCTGTCTGACACAATTTGAGCTTGCGATAGCAAGAAAGTCTAACCTATTCCGGTGTTCTCTCTCCATGAGACGAGCCGTTATATAGACTTAAACAACATTTGAGTCTGGCTGAAGCTGGCTTGAGATGGGGCCTTATTCAGGTTTATGAGGGATGGAAGAGAGCAACCCCGAGGGGGACAGCATTTACCTGGTGGTTTGAGGCGTCACCGCTTCATCTTAATCTTACTCAACCGTTAGTACTTATAGTATTTCATGTCACTCAGTGTTTAGCCCGAGTTTTTTTTAACCTGTGAAACAACAGTGGATGAATTTGATCTGTGAAGCTCCTTAGGTAGCATTGTGTGTGTGTGGTTTTCTAAGGGGACACATAACAACAGGGTAGGATTTTAAATGTCTGAGGTAATGTAAGCTATGAAACTAAACTTTTATTTCCGTTCTGTTTTTCTATAGAGAATAGTGACAATAGTACTGGAAAGAAAGAAAAAGAAAAGAAAAACAGAAAGGGCAAAGACAAGGAAAATGGCTCTGTATCCAGCAGTGAGACGCCACCACCGCCACCACCACCAAATGAAATCAGTCCTCCTCCACATGCTGTGGTAAGTGCAGGATTGACAGCCTAGTAGGCACTAAAATTTTGTAAAGTACATAGCATTTGGTTGAGGGTGGGCAGAAGTGAAACTAGCCTTTAGTGTGATATTATAACCCTAGGTGCTGTTGGTTGCTTGAATTAAGGTTAACCCAATTTATTTTTGATAGAAAATGAAGTTAATGCCATTAACTTGACAAAATTTGGAGTATTTTTAATTTTTTTCAGGCCTTTGACCAAGCATCTTTGTTTCTGTAAACAGGAAGAGGAGGAGGATGATGATTGGGGGGAGGATACAACTGAGGAAGCTCAAAGGCGCAGAATGGATGAAATCAGTGACCATGCAAAAGTTTTGACACTTAGTGATGATTTGGAAAGAACTGTTGAAGAGCGGGTCAATATCCTGTTTGATTTTGTTAAGGTAAAAACATTAGCTTGATCTAAAAATCAGTGTAACCGACAATTGTACTTTTTATTTATTCCCTTGGACTTTATTCTTTTCAGCTGGGTGGTTGGGAAGTAACTTTCTTGTATCTTTTGAATACTCTAATGCAAAGCTTATTTTCACTTTTTGTTAATTTATTTAAGAAACTTTTTTGACCGTGGTTTTAGGCACTACATTTAATAGTTGTGTATATCGTTTAGAAGTAATAAATTATGTTGAAAAAAGTCCGAGAATAGGGTGTGACTGGTATCTCAAGCCTAGCAAAATGTGCCTCAGAGTTGTCTCCTTTTACACTTGCAGAAGAAGAAAGAAGAGGGTATTATTGACGCATGTGACAAAGAAATTGTTGCTGAAGCAGAAAGACTGGATGTAAAAGCCATGGGTCCTCTTGTTCTAACCGAAGTTCTTTTTAATGAGAAGATAAGAGAACAAATTAAAAAATACAGGCGCCATTTTCTACGAGTAAGCAAATTGTTTTAGATTTGTAGGCTGGGAACTGTCACTTTTAACCACTTTTGCTCATTCTTTGTTCTTTTTTTTTTTTTTAAGATGACTGGTAAGGGGATCTTAACCCTTGGCTTGCTGGTGTTGTCAGCACCACGCTCAGCCAGTGAGCTAACCGGCCATCCCTATATATAGGATCTGAATCCGTGGCCTTGGTGTTATCAGCACCGCACTCTCCCGAGTGAGTCACGGGCCGGCCCTTTGTTGTTCTAAAAGTGGAGATAATTGACTTACTTTACCAAGCTTGTGAGATCTGAAAATGCAATGCTGTGCGTAGACCCTTACAGATAGTGATACATGAGTCTCTGTGCATTGATCTTTTTGAACCACTGTTATATAGGCCGTATTCTTAATCTTAAGAGGATGGATATTCTTGAATACAAGAATTGTCAACTTAGAATGTCTGAAAAAGCTTGTTAATGCCAAGATATCTATTTGCAGTTTTGTCACAACAACAAAAAAGCTCAGCGGTACCTTCTTCATGGTTTGGAGTGTGTGGTAGCAATGCATCAAGCTCAGCTCATCTCCAAGATTCCACATATATTGAAGGAGATGTATGACGCAGACCTTTTAGAAGAGGAGGTCATCATCAGCTGGTCGGAAAAGGTGGGGAATACATAAGTGGACTCTTCAAGTTCAAAAGTAGTGAGACACAGAGCTGTTGTATTTTCTGGATGTAGAAGTAATATCTAATGCCTAGTTTCTTCTCTAATTAAAATTCAGTCCCTGTGCTTGACTGGTATAACTTGGTGATTCCCACCATGTCAGCTTTGTAGTCCCAACTGCTTAGACTCCACTATGTGTTTGCAGAATATATATGTTCTGTTGAGGATTCAAGATTAGGATATGACACAGTCCTCTCAAAGAGCCCAAGAAAAGGGATTATGTAAATAATAACAAGGTGTAAGGTATATTTTAAAATCTTCAGACTAAGAAACTTGTGCTGAAAACTTTTTAGGCCTCTAAGAAATATGTCTCAAAAGAACTTGCCAAAGAGATTCGTGTCAAAGCAGAACCATTTATAAAATGGCTGAAGGAGGCAGAGGAAGAATCTTCTGGTGGTGAAGATGATGATGAGGATGAGAACATTGAGGTAAATACTGGGGAAAGTGTTAAATACAGTGTTAGCTTATGGCTGTTTGAGATTAAAAGGTTTGTGAGAGGTAATATAAATCGGCAGTTTTGGCTAATTCCAGATATGAGTTGTAATAAATTATGGCTCTTGATTTGGAAAAATAATTACATCAATAGGATGAGTGATAGAAATCTCCACCCACCAGACATGGTCTGTCAGAACAAACTACAGGTTGTGGAGATCGTGTCAGATAATTTACTTTCTCATAACAAGACTTTCATGAAGAATGATAGCTATATCTAGGAAGTTTTTCTCCTTTGTGACCTTGATTTGTATTTATTTTGTTTTATAAGTACGTTTATTGGGAGAAAGGTTTACAATCAAAGTCATTTTTCTTCTTAGGTGGTGTATTCGAAGACTGCCAGTGTACCAAAAGTTGAAACTGTGAAGTCTGACAATAAGGATGATGACATTGATATTGATGCCATTTAAAGGGTGCAACCTAGCTTACCAGTGTAATGCTGCAAATTTTTCTTCATTATCAGCCAGAAGTGCAACATGAATGTGCGAAAGCTAAAATAGCTTAACATCATGCTACACTTTGTACTAAAAATTTATTGCTGTGAGTGGTCTGTATGTAATTAAGCCCAACGAGACATCTAGGGGAGTCCATACACACATCAGTGAACAGATAATAGTTTGCTTATTTATAGCATGTTTTCTTTTTGAAAAACTAGTGGTGGACACATTTGGATCACATTTATACAGTTAGTTATAAAAATAAAGATTTGATTTTTTTGGTCAATCTTCAGATTTTTGGCTGTGAATGACTTAAGCTGAAGTAATTGGCTCCCTTTTAAAATGTTGCACCATCATTTAACTTGATAGGATTCTTGGAGCCTATTCAATATTGTTAAGTGCCGAGACTGTAAAGCAATCTTCAGCAGGATGTAAACAAATTTATTTGTAATAACCATATTCAGCCATGGAGAAATATAATATGTCTTGAGTTTTATCTCTAGTCCCTCAAATTGGCATCTGGTAATTTGTCTTCCCGTGTGAGGTAGACTGATAATCAGATTGAGAAGTAAAAACGACCTGAGTGTCCTATAAATAACTTTTAAGAGCAGGTTTTGAAACATGGAATTGTTTTTTCAGTTCTACACTTGCCGAAAATTATAGTCTTTGAAATTGTGTTCATTGCATATTGTATCAGGGAAATTATTACATTAACAAGCATTTTATGTGTATGTAGTGGTTGCTTTGTACTGGGAGGAAACTCAAACTTCGGGGTGTGATTAAATAGTAAACTGATTTTATTTGGGGGAAACAGAAAAAGGTGCACTTAATCTCTAGCAAAAACTGAGCATAGTTTTTCAGTTTTTACCCTATGGTTTAAATTACAGTTTCAAGATGTTTAGATATATTTTCTGTTCACTGTGGTTTTTACCCCCGGTGCAATTTGTTCTTTTAATGCCTTTTACATTTGGACAGAAAGCTTATGCTTTTTAGATTTTGGTTAGATATATTTTCTGTTCACTGTGGTTTTTACCCCCGGTACAATTTGTTCTTTTAATGCCTTTTACATTTGGACAGAAAGCTTATGCTTTTTAGATTTTGGTTGCTATCTTGCCAAAATAAGTGTTAACTAATGTTTCAAACTTGATTTTTTTTCCCATAATGTCTTATTTATAAAAAAACAAAACTAAAAGCATATTTCTAAGTCGGAACCTAAAATTTGGTATAAGAGTTGGGGTATTTTTACTTTACACTGAATATTTCCAGATACCCAAGAAATCTGTGGTGATGGCCACTGAGTTCACAGGACTAGGGCCTGGCCCAGCCAGTCTATGTAAAAGTCAATTTTTCTTTTGAATTCCTTGCCCAATTAACTTTTCTAGAACTTGATTTTGCTTCTGACTGTATTTGAGTAATCTTCAAGGTAAAAACATGTTGCATTTATTCTTTTCCACAAAAAGTGCACAGTGGGAATATGGATTCCCACTCATACATTGAGACCTTAATAATGTGTATAAAAATTTTTCACATTGAAATTATAGACATTTGATAAAATAAAAACCTTGTTAACTTGATATTCTAAGGAATTGAAACCTAGCAATCTTATTGGGGAAATAAGAATTGGTCTCCAGCTGTCTTGATAGATTCTGTTAAGAGGAGAGCAGGAGGCCATATAGCTGGAGGGAATGTGCTTTGTCACACCAAAGAGAATAGAAAGTTTTTGCAACATGTTTCTTAGGTTTCAGTTTCACTGCTGCAAGGCCAACTTGCTTTCATTAACTGAAATTCTGTAGGACTTACTGGTGGCCTAAGCTAAATTGCACTCAGCATACCCGTTGTCAGGCTAATGAGGTTCTGTTATAGAACTTTTACTCTGAAGGAAAACATGTTCAGGGCTTCTAAACACTAAGAAAATTTTGGCTTAGACCAGTGTTCAGTCTGGTGCCAAACTTTCAGTGGAATTCAAATTCATGTAATCTGAATTTTATTCACAGAAGTTATGCTAATAGAGTAATTCTTCACTTTTGCTCTATTGAAATGTCTTAAGATTTTTTTGTTTCAAATAGCTACATTACTTGATTAAAACAATGTTAAAATTATATTTTGTCTCTGCTTTAATATCAAAATTAACCTATGATTTTATAATGAGATCAAATCAGAGCTGCCCTGTTTTGTAACTGTTTCTTTGGGTTTGTGTTGAATGTCTCCTGCAGTCACACTTGCCATCCATGTTCACAAAACAGATGTTTAGTTCATTGAATCACTGGATTTCCTTGGGTTTGGTGGTCTTGTTGGTATTCCTATTCTGTAACACAAGTTTGACTATGAACCAGAAAGTCTGCCTTAATTTTATTTCTTGAAATCTTAAGTGCTTACTAGGGAATTCAGATTTTGAATATATAGCTGTATAACTAGATACAGTGTGTATCTCTAGTTAAAAAATAGGCAGTGGGGAAGATTGCTTTCTAAATAAGTCAGTTCTGAAGTTAAACTTACAAGGTTCTTATTTGGGTCCTAAAGGTCAGAAGAGGGGCAGGAGGTGGTCTCTATCTCTGCTTCCCATGTGGGAGGGATATTAGGATTGGGCCCAAAGCCGTTTACTCCAGTGTAGCAAACACTGACTCCATAAACCTTTGACCTGGAAGTAATTTAGAAATGAAAGCTGGCCTTCCTGAAAGATTCGTGGAGTAATTTTGAGCCTTCTGCATTTTCCATTAGCTCAGTTCTCATCGTTGTCCTGAGGTATAAGTTCTGCTGTTCTAGGGTCACTCATTCAGTCTGACTCGTCACCCAACCACTTTGTCTTTCCTGCACTGCTTAGTTATGCTTAAAACCAAAGACTATGCTCCCGTTTGCTTACAGCTTATTTTTAACAAAATAGTCAAACCATAATTAAGATACTTTAAACTTCCCTAACATCTCTGCAAATAATCCTTGCTTTTCTAGTAAGCCATTTTTCTACTACAGTTCTGCCTACCAGTATTCCAGAGAGTAACCAAGAAATAGAAAGTTGACCCTGTCCCAGCATTTTTTTTTTTTTTTAATGGTTCTTAAAACTTTGTGTTTTCTGACCACTCCGAAGCTTCAGAGCATTCTCACTACTAGAAACTGCTGCACTTTTGTATCTGCCTTCCCTGACTGACGTGCTGTGTGCTCCCTCCTTTCTGGGGAGACAGGAAGTCATTTTTTTAACCTCTGTCTCCAGTACTCTAGAGACCTTGATTCATAACAGTGACATTTCATAAACTGGTGATGTGGGCAGGTGACTTGCCAAAGGTCTCACTGGCTTGTGCACCAGTGTGACCCTGTGAGTCTTTTAATCGGTTGGGAGCTTGGGGTTTATGTCTGCCTACAGTAGGGCTCTGGTTCTGGCTTCTGACCCAGCAGACATCTTTAGAAATCAAATTTTCATGGTTCTTTACAGCCAGAAGATTGAATAGCTTGTGTGTGCTGCAATGTGGGAAAGGGTGGGATACTGCAAAGGGAGGAATGTTCACTTTGGTTTTGCAATCAACCTGGGTTCTGGCCAGAGCATCCATGTAAAACTGGGAGACTCCATATCTGCGTGATGGGGATAGCAACCCGTGTGCAACCCTGAAAAATCCTGCTGGGAGCCTAATGCCTCTCTGGGGCGATGGGGGAAGTGGTGCTTTCTAGAAGGGCAGACTATGCTGGGAGTGCCAGATATCAGGGTTCACAGCTGATGGAAGAGCAATGGGCAGCTAAAAGAAAAGCTGTTTTTGGTTGTGCAGTTTCAGGGTACAGTCTTTCCCTCAAGTAGACCGTAATATCCCCTTGGTGGTTGCCACCAGCAACACTTATCATGTGCCCAGACTAAGCCAGGTCAGTAGCTGTAGATAGGCTGCACCCTCCTGGGATCTCATAACAGCTGTGAATAGCACCCTGAACTAGTAGGTGGCCCAGGCTGTCCAACGGGTGGTGTTGGCTGGGAAGCTCCCACAACTGCTGCTGCAGAACGGCCATGAGCTGGTGCCAGAGAGTTCCATCCACACGCTGTTGTACGTTGCCCATGTGGGGAAAAAGGGCTCTGAAGCTGACCATGGTGGCATGAGGGGGAGGACTCAGCTTTCCTGTGTGGCTGAGGGGCTTCCCAGGAAGGTAACCCGCAACCTGGCTAGTTGAAGACAGGAAGAGCGTCCTAAAGGTGAGGACTGACTGGCGTGTGTGCAAGGCAGGTCGGTGAGGTCCCATCTGATCTGGTGTGTCTGTAGCACTCTGAAAGGATCCCCAAGGTACACACTGGGGTTGGTGGCACAGGGATTGGGTTACAGACGCACTTCACAGAAAGGTAAAAAAGCCCAGAGACGGAGGTGACTGGCCAAGGGCCTATAGTAAATGCAGATGAGGGCTGGACCCCGTGGCTTCTGCCCAAGCCGACACTTGTCCCCTAACTGGCCTTCCGGTCCCCATTGCCCCAAGGACTTCAGAGTAGAGAAAAGGAAGAACTTTCTGGTCCTTAAGATGGTTACACAGTGGAGGGAAGACTTGGTATAGCAGCTCTCAGGGTCCTTGGGTGAGGAAGTTGCAACTTGCAGGGGACTGGAGCCATCTGAAGGGACCATCTACAGACTGAAAAACTCTTGTAGAGGAGCAGGGCACTATCTGCCCATGCACCCCACTGGATCCCTTGTGCTCCTGCTCTGCACCAGGCCGGGACTGGAGCCATCTGAAGGGACCATCTACAGACTGAAAAACTCTTGTAGAGGGGCAGGGCACTATCTGCCCATGCACCCCACTGGATCCCTTGTGCTCCTGCTCTGCACCAGGCCTTGGGCAAGCTTACACTTGACCCCAATTTGGCACCCCCCCACCTCCACCCCCCGCACACTCCCAGGCCAAATAGGGTAAAAGCTTTAAAGGAGAGGAAATGATTGGGAACCCTGAGGACAGTGTCACAAAAAAGGCAACATTTGAACTGGTTCTCAAAGGATGGGTGGGAGTATGCCCGGGAGAGAGACTTAGGGAAGTACACGTGGAAAGTGGAACTACCCCGTGGCTGGCAGGTGGATGGTGGAGAGGAGGCTGGAGGCAGCGGCAGGCGCCCCATGGGTGAGCTCGCGTTTGCGTCTCCTAGCCGCTAGGGAGGTTAAGCGGCTGTGGGGAAATTCAGGAGACGGTAGTGGGGCATCGTGTATCTGGCACAGCCAGCAGCAGCTATGGGAGGTAGACTAGTCAGGTAAGGTGGCACTTCAGCCTGGGAAAGTTGGGTCCCCAAGCAGCCTTGGCTATCCTGAGGGCAGTGTCCCAGATTGAGGAGATAAGCAGGCCCAGCCTCCTGTCCCACAGGCAGCAGAATCTGAGCCCCCAGGGCAATGGAAGTGCCTCCTCTGAGGACCAAGATCTCCTAAATTTGGGGCCTGCCTAGAGTTCAGTACCCAGAAGGGGGTCCCCAGAGTTCAGGGCCTCAGTGGCCACAGGATTTTGTTATGGCCTCCAGATCAGAAACAGCCCTCCATAGTTGCAGGATTGGGATCTTGAGATGTGACCACAGTGCCTCTGTGTTAATCAAGTTCTTATGATGATAAAATACAAAGTAAACTAAGTCACAGAGCCAGTTGGGAGAAGGGGGCAGTTTTCCAAGGATTGACATGATAACAGAATCACTGAGAACCTCACTGCACAAGTCTGGCCTCGTGATGATCCAGAGACACCAGCAGGTCCAGCTTTGTGGACAAATTACACCCACACATACTGCATGATTCCAACTATATGACATTCTGGAAAAGGCAAAACCATGGAGACAGTAAAAAGATCAGCAGTGGCCAGGAGTTAGGGCTAGAGGGGGAGGGTTGCTACCATAATGGTGGATACGTGTCCAAACCCACAGGATGGACACCACCAAGAGTGAACCCTGACATAAATTATGGACTTTGGGTGGTAACAACGTGTCAGTGTAGGGTCATCGTGGTGACAGATGCACCACTCTGGTGGGGGATGTTGATGCTGAGGAGGGAGTAAGTGGGAACTTTACTTTCTGCTCAATTTTGCTGTGAACCTAAAGCTTCCCTTTAAAAAAAAAATCAATTAAAAAAATAAAAATCAAGTCTTTAAAAAAACCCAAGACCAAAAAAGAAAAGAAAACACAAAAAACAACAACAACAACAAAATGCTTTAAGGGCTGGCTGGTTAGTTCTGCTAATTAGAGCACAGCCTTGTAACACCAAGGCCAAAGGTTTGGATCTCCATACCAGCCGGCCACCCCCAAAATAATAATAACTTAAAAAGCAAGAGTAGAAAACCCACACATCTAAAAAGCAGAAAAATTTGCAAGAGTGAGATGTAGTAACAAGTCCAAATATTTTTAAAATCCAGGGCCGGCCTGGTGGCGCACTGCGCTAGTTCGCCACTTGGGAAGCGCGGAGGCGCTCCCACCGAGGGTTCGGATCCCACATACAGACCGGTTCCTGCTCACTGGCTGAGCGAGGCGCGGGGGCAACACTGAGGGTTGCGATCCCGTTGCCGGTCCCGGTCCGGTACGGGGGCGACACTGAGGGTTGCGATCCGTTGCCGGACACGGAAAAAAAAAAAAAAAAAGACAAAAAAAAAAAAAAAAA